TATACTGACCAAATAGTCATAGTAGAAAGAGCATGCCAAAAAGTCGAAATGATGCATTAATAAGAATGATGAGAATGACTAAACATTTAAACAAGATTATTTTGAAGTAAAAAAAACAGGGAAGAATCAAAAAGGAAACATACATTTACAGGAGAAAAGGTAAGAGGAGATTTTATTTGCGTCTTTTTGATATTTTTACCGTTAGTTGTATGATTTGTATTTACATGTTCTTTTCCATATTGACTACATGAATAGTAAATTTTGTCATTCAATGAATATCAGAATGGGTTTTGTGGAGATTTTTAGAAATTTCACAGGTTGAAATCATGAGTCAATTAAGGTTAGACCACCATGGAAAACCTAGTATTGGATTGGTTGAAGTTAGACATTAACACCATCGGATGCCAGCTCAGTGGTCTGGTGGTTAAGAGCTCGCACGCGAAACCAGTAGGTCCTGGGTTCAAACCCTGCGGGGCACGGGATCGTGGGTGCGCGCTGCTGAGGAGTCTCATACTAGGACGAAACGGCCATCCGGTGCTTTCAGGTTTTCCATGGTGGTCTAGCTTCAACTGACTCATGATTTCAACCTGTTAAATTCAATGAATAGATTATACAAAAGTTTTTAACAGAAATACAAGAAAGTTGAATCAATGTTTGCAAATACGTTTGTTATCTTTATTATTTTTTGTTAAACTCAACGCTTAAATGGTTATATAAGTGAACTAGAAGACTAGAAAACATGATAGTTTATAAATTTTAGTAGACAACTGGAACATGGTTGATGCAAAACTAAGTAAAAGATTTGTATTAGAATTATGAATTGATCTTGAAGCATTGGATGGTCATCTAGTCCTAGTATGAAAATCCTCAGCAGCCTGACTCCACAATCCCGCACACGGGAGTCGAACAAACCACTTTTGTTTTCGTATGCGAAATTTTGACCTCTAGACCACTGAACCGGTATCTGACGGTGTAATGTTTAAACATAATCAATACACAACATAGTGCGACTATCTTCCATTGTGTTTGGTGAGTAACTTCTTCTAACTCGATACAGATGAACGCCACTAGTCACAGCTTCTCTTTAGAACTCCTGGAATTTTCTCTCGAAACTGGTTATTAGCGAGCATATGATAATTTTAAGTGAATGGTTATGGAGATTGTTAAATTTTATTGAAAGCATGAACCTATCTAATTTAGATCATCGAAAACTTAGAATACTGGATGGCTATCTCGTCCTAGTATGGATATCAATGAAATTCAACAGTCTACACAACCCATACTGTAAAAGCCTTATAGTTAAATGATCCTAGTTTATGAGCAGACATAGTAATGGCAGCCGTTTACGGAACTTAGATCGACAGATTTTTTTTGATTGTGTACCATCGTCTAATGTCAAAACACAATGTACGTAGGGTCGTTTAGGCTAGCGAATCTAATGAAACTAACAACATCAGTTATAAATTAAAAGTCAGTCAGCTTGTAAAGCTCAGTGATAATGTCGTTAACGGTGATTATGGGTGATAGGATGTTTGGAATTCATGAGATACAACAGTGTACCTTCAAGACTATATATACATCTTGATGATGACTGTCAACAACAATTTAAAACTTCCTATCAATCGCTCATTTCTAACCATTTAACATGTATTTTTCATTTCTACAGTAAAATATCAGTAAATTTTAAGTAATTTCTATCATTAAAAATGGATCAAATCATCAAGATCATTTATCATATGCTTAAAATAGTGTGTTTTGTTTTCAATAAAATCTTATCTATCTCTTATATCTTTACTTCAATCTCAACAGTTCGACTATTTTTGCTTTATAAGTTGACATCATTTTTCAAGTGTGTTGTGTGTCTGTGTGTGTGTGTTTAGTAAATTACTTCTAGAAATTACTGTATTTGTAAATGTAAAAATGATAGAAGAAAAATGTATCTAGAACAAGGTTTCAATAAAAACAATAACAGTTTGATTTGAAACTTAGATTAAAATAAAGGTAAACTCTTTTTTTAAAAAAAAGAGGAAACGTACATAAAGAAAGGAATTTTGTGTTAGTAACATATAAAAACTATCCATGCACAACAACTATTGTGCTAATTTATATGAAGTATGAATAAAAAGTTAAAGGAAGAGATTTTAAACCAAATAGAATATAGAAGAGATAGACTGTGGTTAAGAGTGAAATTCAGGATGATTGTTTCGCTCTATTTGAGGCTCATCAGATGAATATGGCTCAATCCCAGTGTTGATATTTACAACGAAACGTCAACTAAGTAGCTATCTCTTCAAATGATCTGTCGGCTACAGACGCTTAATTTTGTGATATTATAAATGTACTTGCAAACAAAGTTACTGATTTTATTATTTTTATTTATATAAACACATAAATATTGGTACAACGAGGCACCAACTTTAGATACGCTACACTTCGCCATTCGAATTATGTGAGAGCTGGAATACTGTCCGGGTGCCCAAACCGAAGCAATTGATATTAAATACAAATCTTAGTGTTAATCTAACTATAAATAAATCAAATACGAAGCAGTATATTAATGTATCATTTTGACTTCATATGGGAGTCAAATAAATCTTTATTTATTGTCATTATGTTCTAATTTATGTCGTTCGATTCATGGTTTTCCAGTACCAAGTATCAAGTCAGTTAGTGAGGTTGTTATTAATTTGCTTAGAACCATAACATAAGCGATAACAGTCTTCATAATTCTAACAGCACTTAAAACTAATTTCTTCACAATCAAATCTTTTCTTGTAATTAATGAAAGGTTTACGTAATACAGATAAATTATTTACATAAGTCATTAGCAATATGTCAAATTCTTAATCATATTTTTATGTTTGACATAAAACTCTAGACTCCTTGAAAAAGCTTGAACCAGATTGTCAGGCGAAACGTTGGATTTACTCCAAATTCTCTCGCTGAGATTTCACAAATGCACTCTTCCTCTTTAATTGTAAAAAGGTTTTAAAAAAATAACATCATGTATAAAAAAATATGTTTCTTGACAATCACTATTTTAATAGTTGAGATCATGAGTCAATCAAAGTTAGATCACCATGGAAAACCTGGAAGAACTGGACAGATTTTTCGTTCTATTGTGGGACTCCTCCGCCCGCGGGATTCGAACCCAGGACCTATCATTTTCACTAGACCACTGAGCCGGCCGTCATCCAACAGTGCTAATGTCTAACTTCAACTAATCCACGAAATTGAGCGACACATCCACCAGTGTCATTAGTGAGTTCGAATCCCATGAGGCAGGATCGTGGATGCGCACTGCTGAGGAGCCTCACAATAGAATGAAACCACCGTCCAGTGCTTCCAGGTTTTCCATAGTGGTCTAGCTTCAATTGAGTCATGATCTCAACTATTGAAACTACTACAATCTCCACAAAAACCCTACTGCCACTAACTACTATTTTAGGTTAGAAGGAAAATAATTCTGTTAGAATGTATATCTTATGGATATATTTTTGAAAAAGTGAACATATTGAGAATGTTTATCCCATGTTGATCTACTAGAATCTACAGGCAAGCCTTTTTATAGTTTGACATATAATATCATTAAAATGTACATCTTTCTGCTTAGTACCCTATAACTCTGTGTGATGAAGATCCGCTTCGCCAAGCTAAATTAACATCATTTATACGTGATAAGAGTTATATAGAAGTGTTAAATAGAAACATAAACAAACGTTAAAACACACAAACATAAAGTGATATGTCAAATCAAAGAAAATAGTGATTGGTCAATGAACAAACACAGATAGACATGAAATATCAAGGGACTATTTTATATATGCAATCGAGTTCACCTCTATTCTCTACTTAACCATGCTTGTCAACTATTTTGTAATATAAATAAAGATGATGATATATTTGTAATATTCCAATGAATAGACAAATTAAATTTTCCGACGTTTCGTGACTCAATGTAATCCCGTTCTTCAGAGAATAAATAACCAAATCAAAATTAACCCAAGTTTAAATAGTACAAAGGAACAAAGCAAGAATATTAGGTGTGATCAATCAAAAAAACAGGTTTGACCAAGTCAGTGTCATTTCATGTCATGATCTATATGAGGCATATTTGTATTCATGGTAAGAGATGAAAAATGTGATATTAGTGGAGAGAAAGGAGTTTAATTTGTATTTACGACAATAGTGTGAAATGTAATGTGTTACTAAGCTCTTATTTTGACTTGAATATTTGTATCTCTGATCACTCGTCAAATAATTGAATCTAGTCTATCAAGCGATCAGTTTTCGTGATTCATTCATCTAATTATTGTGACTTTAAGCCTGGCTAGTTATCATGTGATTTATTCGCTAATCAAAATACGACTTTTTCAATCTTAGTACTATGCTAAACCAATGACGTTCAACCAGTATTAGCAGCCTAGTGTCCTCATGGATTCTTTGTTCTCCTAGCCCGTTCTGTTGAATTCGGAACGTCAATAACAGCTTCCACTATGCAAATCATTTATTTAAAACATACGTGGTTTTTATGCCATCGAAACAGATATCATCACACCATAGAATAGGAAATAACATTTATACAAAATAGAGCTGAAAGTGGCTGTGAACGTGGGAGACGGTAATCAATAAACTGTACATAACTTAAAAACAATAAATTGTATAATTATGGTTTATAGGTCGAAATGAAGCTTATAATAAGAGGAATATAAATAAACATAATCTAGTTACTGAACAGTTATACAATAGGAATGTATATATATAATATTAGTCCACTAATAGTTCTCAGAAGTTACCCCTAATTTAATCTTCACTAGAATATAACACTAATGCCTACTCTTATGTATTTGGGTAATTTAGTGTTTTATGAGGGATTGTGAACCATAAAACTCTTTTTTTTTACCCCAATATAACATAAAATATTTTCCAAAAAAAAAGAAAAAAAAAACTCATTAAAATTATTAGCAAATTAATGAAACAGTAAGATAGAATTAACTTACTTTACTCGATGCCATATCGCTAACAGATCGATGAGTTTGTATATTTTCTAATCTTTCTAAACACCATTCAAGTTCTTCCAATGTTTCACTAGCTGTTATCTTATTTTGTCCACCACTACAACTACCACTGTAACCTTATTTATTTATTGTGTTTTTTTTTAAAAAAAAAGAAAACAGAGAACAAAAAGAAAATACGAAAGAAAATGAGACAAATATCAAGTTGTTCTTTGTCTACAAAAATGTAGACAAAACTGATCGTTTATATACATCAAATGAACAAAGGTGATATACTTGTAAACAACTAAACAGAAAGGATTGGATTGTAATTAATATTTAAAGTATAATTAAACAAAATGAAAACATTTTAATTTTTGACAAAATTAGTCGGTTACTAACTACTTTTATTTATTATTCAGTAGTTGATTTTAATATTAGAAGAATGAAAACATATTCATTTTTAATATAAAGAAAAAACTGAAATAACCATCTTTTTGTTAAAGCTCAATGATATAAATAAAAGTATACTAGACTAACTAATCAATCGGATTTAAGGTAACAAATTTTGTGTTTTTGAATGATGGATAACGTATATCGCAGAAAAACTGGAGTAAATACTACGAATATGCTTAACATTGATAAACATGCGAAGATAAAGTAATAGAGATCGTGGTTTATAAATTTGTAAGGACAACTCAAAGGTGTTTGAAATAATCAAAGAACTTTATAAACATTCACTTACATTAAGCTACAAGAAAGTTGATCTACTCGATTCTTATTAATTACTCTTAGCCTCTAACGCCATATCTTAACGGTAACTCTGATTTCTAAATTTAACTTAAACTGCTAACCCTAAGTCGTTATACAGCCCTCAAATGACCTGGTACGACCAAGAGTGGAAATAGTCAGCTCTCCTTCTCGTCATGCTCTCAAATGGCCACGTGAATACAACCACTTCCAGGTAAGTCCAACTCACTGCCTTTTCGTGGCGGGGGTATTGCTTATGAACTTGAGAGGACAAAAAGCGAGTGTCCGGCGCTTTGACTGTGTTGGTGGATACGGAGGGTTCACCTAGGGGAGTTGGGAAACCCTGATTCTCAACATTGGTGCACATGGGCTCCAGGATCCTAAGGAAACAAATGGCATATGAACCTATTGTTGGTCACCGGCTACCATGGGACTGCATCTCCTTACGTCTCTTCACTTCCTTGTGGATTAAACCTTAAGTTCAAAGGCTCGAGGTGTGTCCTCCTAAGAAAACCACCTTTTGGGCACCCGGGCGGCATCTCAGCCCTCACACAAACCGAATGATTTATGCCTCATTTATATTTCATGCTTCCTTGTGCCAATGTTTATGTATTTAAATAAATAAAATAAATAGATCGTTATACTTAATCTTGATCCAAATCTTAATAACTAATCCTAACCTACTCCTATCCCCAAATCCCGATAGTAGCCCAACTTCTAACATTAAACGTGAACCTCTAAATCTCGGCCAAAGCTCCTAGACATTATGAGCCTTTATGTAACAAATTATTTATCCAAATCATCTGAATTATAATTCTGTGTTCAAAAAAAGTGCCCAGTACTGAACAATTTTACCGTGATATGCTTTAAAAACCAGTAACGAAATAACCATTGTGTCACTAAAACTTGACCAGTACATTTCCTTCAATCTAGGAAATAACAATTTTATCTCTATAAATGTCTAAACATTGATTTAAATTCTATAGACGATCATGACATTTACGAGTATTTATGGAATTTCAATTTCGTTCAAATAATGATCGGAAACTGTGTATGAAAACGTTTTAGAGTTTTATAGAATATAGAAATATATATATCAATGGGTGGTAGAGTTGATAAAAGTAGTAAATAGCATTGACTATTGAAAAACCACATTTATCAAGACAAATTTATAAACCCTAGTTCTCATTTATTCATTTGATTTGATGTAGACTTATTTAACGGGTTGTTGTGCTATATCGTGAATTGATTGAAGTTGAGATCATATCATTCAACATTGACACGATCTTTCTAATGGTTAGGCATTCTCTACGAAGTCCTGAGTTCGACCCCTAGTGAACTTATGGGAGCATACTACTAGGGAGTTCCATACTGAGATGAAATAGCTGTCTATCACTTTCTAATTTCTAACACTACCCTAACTGTGATCAGTCTATGATGAATATAACATAAGAATATTGTTTAATTAAAAATGAAAATGAAAATTGAAATACTTACCTAAGTGTGAAGAACTATTTCCATCTTCATTAGATTGTATTGATTGAACAGCTCCAAATCGTGAACTAGAAAAATAAAAGGCATTTTAGGGAAATTCGTTAAACATGTATCGTTCATCTCTTTAATTACACTTCCCTAGAATAGGTTTAAGAGCGTTGTGAATATGGATTTCGTGTACAAAATGTTCACAATTATTCAGTTCAGTTGCTATAAATACGTTTTTTTCTATCCATCATATGTAGTATGCTTTAATTTTAACCTATTTGTCTATTCTTATAACAAGATAGATAAAGAGAAAAATATACCGAGAACTATAGTGTTCCTGTTTGAGTTTTCCAGTATTTATTATCGTAATAATCTGTAGTCCTTTTGTAGTAAAGCATCGTACATACAGCTAGTATTCATTATTATGCAGCTCAAACAAATTTAAAATAGGTAGGTTAATTACAATATTTGTACAGTTGAAACGTAGATGGCCATCAAACGTTTAAGACGTTACAGTAGTAGTTGCTATCACCGAAAATGATTTCGTGATATTCATTTTTTTAGTGAATATATTAGGAAGAAGTCACTATTAATGAACATTTTTTTGTTGCTGAGTAGTAACAGAAGTGGTTCAGGTAAATAGTTTTATTTTAAAAAATTCATCGTCGTCTACGAGTTAGACATTAGCACTGGTGGATGCCGACTCAGCGGTCTAAAAGTTAAGGTAGGTACATTTTAGTGGAACCCTTTATTTTGTCGTCATTTAGATCGGACGATGTTTGTGTACGGGCTCTCCACTTTATTGGTCCGGGATCTGACTCCAAGTAGATAGTATGAATGATTGTTATTGAAATATATATGTCGTCTATCCTTGTATATAATGACCGACTTGAATCGCGTTAGTCAATAACAGAATTAGATAAGTCGAATAACGAGAATGGACTTACCCGCCATCTCCACTGCATATCGTTTCGATTCTCTCTATTCCATTAGCTTCATATGCAAAATATATGTATTCAAAAGTCCATTCTCGTCATTTGACTTATTTAATTCCGTTACTGACTAACGCGATTTAAGTCGATGATTATACATATATACGAGGATAGGCGACATATATATTTCTATAACAACCATTCATACTATCTACTTGGAGACAGATCCCGGTCCATTAAACCATCCAACTAACGAGTCTCAAGTAAGGTGAAAACCAGTGTCTTAGATTTCATTATTAACAATAGCAAACCTATTCTAAATAGTGTTTAGTTTTTGTTTTGGTAATTAATTAACGAAACATACACAAATGGAAAAGCAAGATTCTCCAATAAAACAAAGCATGCAACAATCGAATCACACTTGACGAAAAAGATTTGGAAGGTGTAAAAACCTTTACATATCTGAGCAGCAACATCGATGAACATGGTGGATCTGATGCTGACGTGAATGCGCGGATCGACAAAGCAAGAATAGCAAATCTACAACTGAAGAAAATCTGAAACTCAAAACAACTGTCTGTCAACCAACACCAAAGTCAGAATTTTCAATACAAATGTCAAGACAGTTCTACTGTATGGGGCAGAAACCTGGAGAACTACGAAAGCCATCGTCCAGAAAATACAGGTGTTTATTAATAGTTGTCTACGCAAAATACTTCAGATCCGTTGGCCGGACACTATTAGCAACAACGTACTGTGGGAGAGAACAAACCAGATCCCAGAAGGTGAAGAAATCAGGAAGAAGCGCAGGAAGTACATAGTATACATATTGAAGAAATCACCCAACTACATCAGAAGGCAAGCTCTCACACGGAATCCTCAATACCAAAGGAGGAGAGGAAGACCAAAGAACATATTACACCGAACAATGGAGACAGATATGAGAAGAATCAAACAAGAATTGGATAGAACTAGAAAGGAAGGCTCAGGACAGAATAGATTGAAGAATGCTGATCGGTGGCCTATGTTCCATTAGAAGTAACAGGAGTAATTAATTGATTCACGAACTGTCTACTTATAGAGATGTAAACACAAATCAATGGAGTATCTATTATTATTTACTTATATTATATAGACAATATATATGAAATGCTTTTAATTTCTTTTACTTTATATAAAAGAAAACAAAAATAAAAAGATATCAGATAATATTTTAGTATGAAATAAAATAGATGACAAATAAAATAAACAAGATATATTTTGATGAATTCAAGGTCATCTAAGGTCAAGTTGATTTAAACAAATAATAAATAAAACATATCATGTTTTTATTTTGTTTTGTTTTTCTCTTTTTTCGATGTAAAGAAGTTAAATTTAACTTTTATTATCATAGAATGTTTGTTGATTTTCTTATTTTTTTTGGAATAATAAATGATATTTGTTTATTGTAACTTATAAATTAATGATTTCATATAAAGTAATCTTTGATATCATTGATAAATGAACACTTCTTAAAGCGTTATATATACATGTATACTATTAAGATGATTATTACAAACTATAAGGATTGTAATACTTCGATTACAGTTTAATTTGATTAAAAGAAATCGATTTAAAAAAAAAGAGGTAAATGATTAGATAATTTAGATTTGTTATTGATTGAGATCTTGAACCTATTGGTGTTAGACTAACAACCAATCTGTGGATTGGTTGAGGTTAGATATTAATACCGTTGGATGTTGGCTCAGTGATTTAGTAGGTTAAGTGTTCGCGCGCGAGACTGAAGGCCCTGGGTTTGAATCGCGCGAGTAGGATCGTGGATGCGCACTGATAAAGAGTCGCATAATAGGAAGAAAAGGCCGTCCAGTGCCTCCAGGTTTTCAATGGTGGTCTAACATAAATCAGCTCATGATCTCAATCAATAACTTAATTATCTTCACAATTTTATACTAATAATTTAGATTTGATCAGCTAGTCATGATCGAAGTACAATTTGGGGCATATATGTGAGGCATTTATGCGTTCTTAGATTATGATAATATGATGAGATGAATTTTTAAAAAAAAGATGAATAAAACACAAATTGAAATTATGTAATAGCAATGATAAACAAAAATAACTGAATATTGGGAATATAGCTTGAAAAGACATAATATAAAGATATTCATGAAAGAATAGTGCAATTCAAGATAGAAAGGGAAATAATAAATACATCTGTACTACTTTAACTGGTTACGACAAGATTATATGATGGAATCATAAATTTTATATTGATCCAGATTCAGTTATGTGATATATCTAGTCTTTATTCAGAGCCCATCACACCGCAACATAAATGAAATACGCCAAAAGAATACTTTTGTTAATAACAAATCGGAGATATCGAAATGGATCAAGCGATCAGATTTACATTCTGAAATCATGTAATTTAAAACGAAGGTATCTAAAACCAACCTAAAATTAGTCAAATATTCAAATATACAACTTTCATTAAAGAATTTCTTATTATAACACTAATATATGAATAAGGAATATTATTTTCAATGAATTTCTCACCAGGTTCTACAATTATATATCCAAACTAACAATCTATAAAATTAGCCAGATTTAAGGCAAAGTTCATCATTTATAATATTATAGCGAGTGAATTAAGGATTGTTTGTAATGTAAACTAAAATCGTCCACGTTGAGGTGACTAATATAGTAACGAACAAAAGTACAAGTGGGGATGACCAAGTGTATTACAGAGTTATTTGGTAAAATATAAAGGCCATACATTTAATCCATTAATTGTTTCAGATTTTATTTTTCCTTCATTTCCATAACAATTACTCGCTGTTCCCGTTCTCTTTTATTCAATCTTCCCAGCTTTCTGCTCCCAGGTTTTCCAAATTTCGATTGGTGTTACATACTACTTATATCTGTTGACATAAGTAGCACACACCGTAGTATATTGTGTTAACTTGAGAAGGTTTATACGTTAAGTGAAATTGTGAGATAAAATGATCAGAATAAATATGGTCAACATAAGGTGACAGAGAGAAGAATGTAATTACAAATTGGAAATTACGTAATATGTAGAATGATACGAAATGGGTACGAATTAGTAGATAGGGCTGTATGCTGAATAAATTTCCCAAAAAAGTCGTCAGGTTTTATAATAATAACAATAATGTATGAGTAAGATAAGTTTAAGCCATAAAAGTGAACATTTGTCAAATTACATTTTTGGTTGTAAGCAGCTGACGAGAAACCTCGAAATATTATGAATTCATACTATTCTGCATCAATATTTGTTCTTGCTTTATTTAAATTCATAAAGGGAACCAATTGCATGAAATTTATAAAAGGAGAGGTTGGACATTTTTCTTCTGGATGTCAAACTCTGGTTTTTTTATTCGAATAGCAATTGCTTCAGAAGTCTAAAAGATTCTCGGTTTGACAGATGTAGGCAGATCGCTACATGTTGACTGTATGACCCGTTTGTACTAAATGAGCTGAAATCGAGCTGTTAACATTTTAAACTATGTTTGGGATTCCCTCCCTCTAAATGCAAAATAATGCTTTAGGATCAGCTTGTGTCATTTCTTAGATTAATATTAGAGAGCGATGTAGTTGAACAACTCGACCACTTCATTTGTCTTGAGAGTCTCATCAGTACTGATGGTCTGGTGTCTGACGAAATCTTGGCACGGATTCAGAAGGCTCGATTGGTTTTTGCAAGCTTGCGTCCCTTGTGTCATAGGCGAGACATCCGTCTGCTAACCGAAAGACGATTTTGTTGAACGACAGTTTGCTCCACTCTACTTTCTGGGTGTGAAACCCGACTATTAAGAATAAAGGACATTCGCAGGTTACAATTATTTGATAATAGTTGTCTTCAATGCGTTGCCCGTGTATTATGGGACCACCAAGTGAGCAATGGCTAGGTTGGGAATAAAGTACCAGGTAAAGGTGGTAAATGGACTGATGAGGTAGTAAATCTTGATCATCTAAGGTGGTTGGGACATGCTTTATGTATGCCTGGCTACGGTCTACATCGATGGGCGATGTTGTCCGGCGTAGAAGCAGTCTAGAAGAATGCTAGGGGTAGCCAAACCGAAACATAGTATTAGTCCATAAACTCATTGACAACTAGACTAGAAGAT